TCGAATATATTCCAAAAAAATACTTTTGACTCTTGATCATTCGAATGGTGATTCTTTAATAAAAATAGGACATTAATTTTGATCCTCAAGTAAGACCACAACAACCGCGTAGATATCCCCCTAGTCGTGTGATTTCTTCCACAAAGCAGTCCACAGCAATCACAAAGATCATCAAAAGCTATCGCAAAGATACACCTTCTAGTCATAGAAGTTTGTGAAGACCCCATACTACTAACCAACAAACATCATGAAGCCTGATTTCCATTGGAAATTGTGTAATCTTGTTTTTTCCTTCTTCTATTAACCATTCATTGCCAAAGTATATTTTTCAGTTTTCTTTTTAGTCAATTTCCAACAGGCAGTCAAGAGATCTTTTAAGTTTAAATAATTCTTTTCGAACGAGTTAGTAAAATCGGTTTGTCTTGATTATATTTATAAAAGCCCACAAATTCCCACTCTTTAGGTGGTGTATCGATAAAATATTCATTGATTTTTGTACTAACACGTTTGAATCACTCATTTTGTTATTGAAAACAAATTTTGCATTTGCACATATGCTAGGTGATTATCAAGTTAATATTTATCGGATACATCTATGTTCCTACTACCAAATTTAGAATTATGATGATCTATTACCTAATTCAGAATTTAGTAGATTGACAATATAATACACTAATAATTAATTTTTTATCAAATTCTATCAAAATTTTTTTTATTTTAATTCTACATCAAATAGATTAAAATAAAAAAAAAAAATTGATCAGAATTTGGCTAGGTAGTTTTTGAGATATCTTTGCTCAAAGTTTTGAAGAGTTTTAACAAACTATCAAATAGAGTTGTGGCTAAGTTTTTTTAAACTTTAATCAAAGGTATTTCGATAGCTACCTAACCAGATTCGATCAAAATTTTCTTTATCTTAATTTTATAATTGCATAGAATTAAAATAAAAAAATATTGGTCAAATTTGGCTAAGTAATTGTTGAAATACTTTGCTTAAAATTTTAAAAATATAGAATTACAGTTAATTTTTATAAATTTTAAATGATGATATTTTGACATTTATCTAAACAAAGTTAATTAATTTTTTTTATTTTAATTCTATAAAATAATATAATTAAAATAATAAATTTTAACTAAATTTGACTAAATAGTTTTTAAGATATTTTAGTTTAAAATTAAGTTATATTTTGATCTTTGAAACTTTGAATAAAGATATCTTGATAATCACCTATCCAAATTTGATTTTTTTTTGAATTTTAATTTTATTTGATTCATAGAATTAAATTAAAAAAATTTGATTAATTTTAATTAAATAATTATCAAAATATTTTTATTCAAGTTTAAAAAACTTAAACAATAATTCTGATATATATTTTTCAAAAACTTAATTGATGATTTGCTAGTTATCTGATAAATGATTTTAGTATAATATAATACAAATTATTATGTAAATCATATAAGCAAAAAAATGTTAAGATTTTTTAACAATTAATCAAATAAAATTTTTTATACTAAGTTAACAATCAAGATCGATTAATTAAATTGTAAAGCTTACTGTAACAAAT